CTTGATGAGGGTTTAATGCTCTCTTAAGTGGTTTGGGGGATCGAGGCTTAAAGTGGGGTTACTCTTCAATTAGTGAGGGAAGGAGAGTGGGAACCCAAGGCACAGAGGGTTTGGAGGAGTGATGTCTGAGATGCCAGGGATGACACAAAGGGGAACAAATGGAATTTGCTGCAAAGCCAATTCCACAATTGACTGACAGTCAAAAAGACAGTTTGAAGGATGTTTTAGCAAGTTCCTACCAATTAGGTGGAAAGCCTTGATGTGCTATTTTGTGATTTTGGTGTTTGGATCTGTACAGACAGATGGATCCATGGAAAATTCCATTGGTTAAGACCCTCATTTTCCTCTCAGAGTGAATTACTGGTTGCAGATCACTGTTCCTGTGACAGTGAGCGAGCCAGGAGCTTCTCCCAGGAATGTAAATTAAAGTCCTGAGCTGCGCTGTCCTGGGTATGGGAAGGGTTCCCAATTCAGCTGTCCAGGACAGGTATTTAATGACATTTAAGATCACAAAATCATAGAATCACAGAAGGATTTGGGTTGAAAGGGACCTTAAAGCTCTTGTTGCAACCTCTTTGCCATGGGCAGGGACACCTTCCAGGTTGCTCCAAGCCTCGTCCAACCCGACCTTGGACATTTCCAGGGATGGAGCAACCACAGCTTCTCTGGGAAACCTGTGCCAGGGCCTCACCAACCTCTTAGTAAAGATTTCTTCCTAATATCTAATCTAAACTTACTCTCTGTCAGTTTGAAGCCATTCCCCTTTGTCCTGTCACCACGTGCTCATGCAAAAACGTCCCTCTCTGTGTTTTTGGGTCCCTTCAGGTACTGAGGACCACAATGAGGTCACCCCAAAGCTTTCTCTTCTCCAGAGAAACATCTGGCCGTGAGCCAGCAGTGTGCTCAGGTGGCCAAGAAGGCCAATGGCATTATGGCTTCTATCCAAAATAATGTGGCCACAGGAGCAGGGCAGGGATTCTCCCCCGTGCTGGGCACTGCTGAGGCCACACCTCGAATCCTGGGGACAGTTCTGGGCCCCTCAAATCAGGAGGGACATTGAGGGGCTGGAGTGTGTCCAGGGAAGGGAACGGAGCTGGGAAAGGGGCTGGAGCAGCAGGAACAGCTGAGGGAGCTGGGGGGGGCTCAGCCTGGAGAAAAGGAGGCTCAGGGGGGAACTTCTGGCTCTGCAACTCCCTGACAGGAGAGGGGAACTGGGAGGGGGTCAGGCTCTGCTCCCCAGGAACAAGGGACAGAAGGAGAGGGAACGGCCTCAAATTGCTTCAGTGGAGGTTTAGAATGGATATCCGAGAAAATTTCCTCATGGAAAGGTTTGTCTATCATTGGAACAAACTGCCGAGGGAAGTGGTGGATTCACCACTCCTGGAAGTGTTCAAAAAACACGTGGATGTGGCACTTGGGGACACAGTTTAATGGTGAACATGGTGGGTGGTGTCTGACTTGATCTGAAAGGCCTTTTCCAGCCTTAATGATTCTGTGACTGAACAACAGTAGCTGGAGAAACTGGAAGGGCTGAGGAGGGGAACTAATAAACTGCTGGGAGATGAGGTGGGAAAAACTGGGCAAAGCTGGTTCTACAAAGAGCAGAGAATGTCCTAATGATGGTGGGACACCAGCACTGCCCAGGATCATTTGGATCCTCCAAGCTGATAAAGAGATGTTGTGTTACATCACAGTCATCCCCTGCTCCTCCAACATTTCCAAGGGAGCTCTCTGATCTCATCCCAGCTAAAATAGGTCTTTGGCACGTGTTCCAAAGCCTTGATTCCACCCCAGCCTGACACTTGGAGCCACACACCACGAAGGGAAGCAACATCACCGAGCACAACCAGCTGGGTGCTGTCAGGGACAGCCCAAACCTTCCTGCAAACTGCAGAGGGAGAACCACAACCCCGTGTCAGGCCAAGAGGAAAACCTGCTCTCTGAATTCATATCCTACCACTGACAGGATTAATCAGGCTGACATTGGGCTTGTGTGTGAGGAGAGGACGAGCAGCAAACCGCTTTTACTCAAATAAATCTCCTTAAAAAGTGATGCCCACAGACTTTCCAAATCCCCAGTAAGATGTGTGAGCCTCCCTCAAGCAGACCCTGTTTCAAATGCCCCCCAAGTTCCACCTGTGGCCGTTGCATTAGTGTTTGCCAAGGTTTTCCAGAGGACTCTGTGTTGGGCACAGCTGGCCAGGTTTGCCCTGAGCTTTGCCAACCAGCTGTGCCTGGTTGTTTGGAGTCAGGCTATGGAAGGGAAGCAGCTTTCCAGGGCTCTGGAAAGAACAGTTTTATTTGGAAAGTCCATTCCCCGTGTGTAATGGTTCACTGAAGTCCTTTCCTGCTGGTGTGAACACACACAGTGCCCACCAAGGGGCTCAAGAAGGAGCCCAGACCCACCACGTGATGTGCAACTCTCAGGCATAAACAGGCTGGAAAAGTCAAGTTGTTGTTCCCAAGGATCAAGTTGATTTTCCCAGGGAATTCCCAAAAGGGTTTGAAGAAAGTGTGCAGGTGTTGATAGAGGGAAGTGTTTGCTCCTCATGGGGATGTTTGTGAAGAGGAATCACAGAATCATGGAATGGTTTGGGTTGGAAGGGACCTTGAGGACCATCTTGTTCCAACCTCCATGGGCAGGGACACCTTCCAGTATCCCAAGTTGCTCCAAGCCCCATCCAACCTGGCCCTGGATGATTCCAGGGATCCAGGGGCAGCCACAGTTTCTCTGGGCAACCTGTGCCAGGGCCTCCCCACCCTCACAGGAAAGATTTTCCTCCTAATATCCAATCTAAACCAATCCCCTTTCAATTTAAAGCCATTCCCCCTCATCCCATCACTACACATACTTACAAAAAGCTCCTCTCCATCTTTTTTATAAGTTCCTTTTAAGTCCTGAAAGGTCCTGGAGCCTTTTCCAGTCTGAACAACCCCAAATCTCCCAGCCTTTCCTCACAGGAGAGGTGATCCATCCCTCTGCTCATCCTCAATCCTCAGGATCCCTGCCTGAGCCTGGTTTCAGGTTGCAGATTGAGACAGAAAATGTGGGTGTCTGCAAGCAGGTGTGAGGTCTAGAGAATTCTTAGTTCATTTTTATAAGTTATCCAGAAGTTCTTCCAGTTGCCTACTCCCAGGTGTGTTATGTCCTTGGAGTTGGCAGGAATTCTGGACAGGCACAGGTTTCCTACAGGTCCTGTGACACATTTAGCAGCATAATTCAGATGTCCCAGAGCATCTCAAATGGTCATGGATGCTTCTACCACAGGAAATGCATAGATCCCACTTATTTGGCCAGGTAAACATCTCCCAGACTCCACTGGTTGTGTCTCTGTGGGCTCTTCTGAGATCTTGGACACGATAAATGAGATTTTCCTAAAATCTCAGTGTTTTTTCAGGGGACATCCAAAATATGAAAATAGAAGTGTGGTTGTGACATGGGACTTGTGGTGGCCTTGTGCTTTGGGGGACTGAAACATTAAACAAACATCCTGAAAATGGGGGATAGAATCTTCAGTGATAAGGATGGAAGTTATAGAAGATGCTTCACTTGTGGGAATCTAAGGGAGGATTCAGTTTGCAGACAGGAATTGAGGCTCAAATCGAGTCAAATCACGGATGTTTGCAGCCCTTTGGGACCCAAAATGCATCTGAGGGTGCTGCAGGAAGTTGTCAGAGGAGGCACAGAGTGTGGAAAGCCTCCAAAAATAGAACTTCAATGAATTTCTTTCACCATAGAAACATTAAAGGCAAGAAATAAGAACAAGCACCACAAATGTCCTTCACAAACAATACAGAGGGGTTTTTATAAGGTAGTTCAGCTCATTAAGACCTGACTGGAGAAATCCTAGAGAAATTCTAGGCCAACTGAGTTCTCAATCCTGATTTTCCAGTGAAATCCTGAAAGCAGAAGGACTTAAGAACCCCCAAAATCCTTAAAGTAAAAAATAATGGGGATGGATTTTATCCCCAAATGTCTGAGATTCCCTGTCTCCCAGAGCAACCCTGCTTTTGTGTCTGAGCTCAGAAGGGGCCAGGCCAAGGAGTGACTCAGATCTGCCACTTGCAACCATCCCCAGGGCTCCCAGTTTGTACTGGATAAAAATGGGAACACCCACATCGAATCCATGCTGGAAGAGATGGATTGCCTTCAAACACAGGGATGGTTCTGGAATGCTGTCTGGTGCTGGATTGCCCAAACAGGGAGTCTCCTGAGGCACAGTTTTGGCGTAATTTCCCCCATCTACCTGCGGGAGAAAGATGTTTCCACACAATTAGTGATGATCCTGGATTCCTTGAAATGAGGCACCCTCAGATTCCCATGGAACATCTAATTGTCCTTTATTTTTCCATCCTAATATTGCTACAATTCCTTTTGATGTTTCTGAGCTGTCACCTTTGTTTGTGGAGGTGATTGTCCCCCTCCGCCCTGCTCAGGTGAGACCCCACCTGCAGTGCTGCCTCCAGCTCTGGGGTCCCCAAAATCAGAAGGACGTGGAGCTGCTGGAGAGAGTCCAGAGGAGGCCCTGGAGATGCTCCCAGGGCTGGAGCCCCTCTGCTCTGGAGCCAGGCTGGGAGAGCTGGGGGGGTTCACCTGGAGAAGAGACGGATCCCAGGAGAGCTGAGAGCCCCTTGCAGGGTCTAAAGGAGCTCCAGGAGAGCTGGAGAGGGACTGGGGACAAGGGATGGGGGGACAGGACACAGGGAATGACTTTAAACTGTCAGAGAACAGGGTTAGATGGGATATTGGGAAGGAATTCTTGGCTGGGAGGGGGGAGAGGGACTGGAATGGATTTCCCAGAGAAGCTGTGGCTGACCCTGGATCCCTGGAAGTGTCCAAGGCCAGGCTGGACGGGGCTTGGAGCAACCTGGGCTAGTGGAAGGTGTCCCTGCCCATGGAACTGGATGATCTCTAAGGTCCCTTCCAACCCAAACCACTCTGGAATTCTGTGATTGTGATGTGAGGGGTTGTTCTTCCCTTTATCCATTTGAGTAGGGCCTCCTACCAGATGTAGAGCTCTGATGGTACCAGCCTGTCACACACATTCCTGCCTTCATCACAACTGGAAGACACTCAGGACAATCTCATGGAAAAATTAAGAAGCAACCACACAATGGGAAGATCTCCTACAGGAGCAGCTCCAACTGATGTTGTTAACAAGGGTATGTCCTACTAATACATAAAATTGTCTCAAAATCAAGCATCTTCCAGACTGAAAGACAACTTTTACCACCAAAACTTCTCCTTTTCCAGTTCAAAAAGACAATTTTTACCACCAAAACCTCTCATTCTGCAAGAGGTCTCTGGATTTTGATAATATTTTGGTACAAAAGGCCATTTTGAACTATCAGAATTTCCTGCTGGATGGTCCTATTTATTTTTTTTTTTTAGCAACACTGTTACCCTTGTTTTGGGCATCCCTTTTGTGAAATTTTGCCCTTTGCCTTTTTGTTTTTCAACAGAATTCTCCAGGAAAGATCACAAGTTCCATAGAATCACCGAGATATAAGGCTTTAAAAAAAAAAACAGACACCAAGCATTTTAAAGCTTGCAATAAAATTTCCAGGTTTGGCAATCCAGACAAAGTCATAATTTCCTTATGGCTCATTTTTAACCTTTTCTTTGAGTCACAAGAAATGTTACTGCATTTTTTTTCTTTTACGTCTGGTTTTATGTTATAGGAATAATCCGAGTATTCCAGTCTTTGTGGAATACATTGATTAATCTGGCTGCATTCTTTCACCTTGGGGATTGACTCATCCTGGTTTTTCCTGACTCCCACAATGCCTGATCCGTGACATTTAGATCTCTTGTGTCATAGCAGCCTGGATTTGTATTTTATGGGCCCCTTTTCGCTGCGTTCACGTTTGTTGTTGCACCCTTGGGCACTGCAGAGCTCCAACTCAGAGCAAGGGTGGAAAAAAAATCACACGTAATCCCTTATTCTGTTCTTTAAATTGGGTCATTCTTGAGACCCTCAACTGCCTCTGACACCATCTGGCCCTAAAAACCAAAACATAAACCATAAAAACACTCTGCCCCTGGATTTATCTCAATCCCTGAGATGAATTAATTCATGCCTCTAAAACTTAAAAGAATGTATTCAATTTGTAGTTATTCCAAGCTAATGAATTCTGGGTAAAGATAGATGCCTCTGGAATATAATTCCGTGTATTTCAGGATTATTTAAGGGAGCTGGGATAAGATTTTTGTCCCTGATTGTGGCCCCTTCCAGGACCTGAAGGAGACACAAGAGAGATGGAGAGAGATTATTGAAGGCTTGGAGGGACAGGGTAAGGGGGAATGGCTTCAAACTGAGAAAATGGAGATTTAGATGGGATATTGGGAAGGAATTCCTGGCTGGGAGGGTGGGGAGGCCCTGGCACAGGTTGCCCAGAGAAGCTGTGGCTGCCCCTGGATCCCTGGAAGTGTCCAAGGCCAGGTTGGAGCAACCTGGGATGATGGAAGGTGGCCCTGCCCATGGCAGGGTGTGGGATGGGATGACCTTTAAGATCCCTTCTAATCAGGCCATTCCAGGATTCCATGAGAATATTCTGTAAATCAAAACCTCTCCCATGTATCCAATCCCAGTAAAGCATCTCTTCAATCCCACTCTTAAGGCAAGAGAAGCAAAGAAGGGAATGGATTTTCCCAGCTTTCTGATAAAAGCCATTTACACCTTGGAATAGGCCAGAAATCCTTGACTTTCATCCCTGCACACTTCAATTTTCCCATATATGTGTGCACTGAGTTAAAGGGGTCACTGTGCTGCTCCTCCTTATTAGAGGAAAGCTCCAATCTGGAATTAAATCAGAATTTATCTTACGGTTAAATTCCTGTAGCACAGGTACAAGCTGCTGGCATGACCAAAGTGCATTTATTAACAGCAGAGAAATGTAAGGGTAATGTAAATAATTTTAACTTAAAAGCGTGAATAATTTTAGGGTGTGATTTGTCTGATCCATTGTAAAGGTTTTTTTTTAGGATCACAGGAATTGTGCCCTCAATTCCACTGAAGAGAAACCCTCCAGCAGCTCCCTCAAGTGTAAATATTGTCACTGTGGAGGTTTAGACTCATAAGAGACCTAAAAGATTAATTTTCTTCTCTCAGTGAATTTTTCCCATAATTGTAACATTTTAAATTTATTTTTTTACCCCATGTCACGAGGTTCTAAAATATTCTTCTCCTTTGACTGTATCAGTGCCCAAATATATTTATAATTGTAAGAGCTCTTCAGCAAGATGTGCCCATTCTGCTCTGCCCCCTTCCAGATTGCAAATTCAGTGTATTCCTGTGAAAGAAGAATTCTGGCTCTGAACACCAATTTTCAAGAAAAAATTTCTAGAAATTTATCAGTTTTAGAGATTATTTTGGATTTTGTTTTTTTTTTTTTGGCCCCACTTCCCTTGGCTTTGTATTCTAAGTTGATTAAACCAAATGTTGTTACTATTCCAAAATGGTGGTTTTATTTTCCTGGCCATCTTTAAGTGCCCAGATTTTTTTCAGGAATGAATTTACCTGTGCAAGGCCCAGCAGATTCCTGCTCTGCCTGCCACTAAATGATAGATCACTGATATGATTTAAAACTCTGGGAAAAAAATGGCCAAGTAGGAAATGCCAGGAGAATGAAGGAGCTGAGAGGTGAAAGACTAAAACCCACCTTTTCTTCTCCTGAATTATTTCCCAACGTTTCCTTCCCTCCTTTCCCATTCTGAATTGCCTTGCAGGAGCCTGTCTTTGGTGATTAGAGGTGAATTATAGGCCAATATCCCACAGAATATAATAAATTTCTGATGAATTTAGGCAAGATAACCCCCCACTTCTCGTGTTTGGACCTCCCTGTCTGAACTTTCAGCCTTAATGTCGGGCTGGAAAGGATTATTTTGCTGTGTGAATTGTCAGTCAAAACGTTATCAATCAAAACATTATCTTGGTTATTAATTATCCTGAAATTCTCCTTTCACCTGAGAGTTATTCTCACTCCATTCTTTTTGTGGATCCACCAGATGGGCTTGGCATGAAGCAAACTCAATGTTTTTTTTTTAAGCTGATTTATCTGATCGACTTCCCCAGAGGATCCCAGGTCACCTGTGCCTTCTCCCAAGTGGTTTAATCCTTGGAATTATCTTTCCCTAAGGAGACAATTCCTCCCTATCCTTACAAATAACCCACTAGTCAGGTATCCAAACTAAAACACTGACAACAAATTTGGAAAATTATGATCCACTGGAGCAACTCTCAGCACTGATTAGTTCATATTTATGAGCGAGGTTTGCAGGAATTATTGCTCCAGTAGGGAACCCAAAAAACCCAGGAATATCATGGGCAGATGGATCATTTTTATGGCTTTGTGGGGGACCTTTTCACAGAGCTTTGCAGTAATTTAGGCCTTTTATTCCTCCACAGCATCCATTTCACCTTGTAAATCTTGTTGCAGATCAAGCTTGTGAGCGTGGAAGTGACCACACACAGCAAAATCTGGAAGCCAAGAAACAGCTGAAATTCAGTATATTATTTAAATATATAAATATATATATATATATATATATATATATATATATATATATATATATATATATATAATATAGATTCCCTTCATATTTCAAAGAAAAAAATGAAGGGGATCTGTTGCCTGTTTTTGCTGTGATTTCCTGGGAATTTATAATCTGCCAAAATACTCAGGAATTGAGGCACCACAGAAGAAAAAAAAATCCAAACTGGAGATGCTGAAAGTTGTTTATAAATTTATATTATAACTGTGACATGAAGAAGGAGCAGATGTGAAACAAAACCCCGCAGCATTTTCAATGAAATGTTGTAAAAACTATTTAAAGTTTTCAAAGAGAAAAGGCAGTTTTGCAATGAAGTTAAAAATAGTCTTTTGGGGGTAACAACGGGAACCTTTTAATTTCAATTTTGAAATTATTGGTAAGTAGAGTAAGTAGGTAAAGTAGACAAATGAGTTGTTTGCCCAGTGAGATCTAATTGGAAGTAATTAGCACAGCATCTGTTTTGTTAGGGAAAGGCTCCTTTGATATCCATAGGGATTAAGGAAAACATGATTTCACTGTTATTTTGGCACTAATCTGGGAAAGAAACCTAAGTGGAGACTGAACTTCAACGGGTGCATCAATGATGGGCTTGGAATGTAAGGATCTTAATGGTCTTAAGCTCAACGAGGGGAATTTAGATGGGATATTGGGAAGGAATTCCTGGCTGGGAGGGTGGGGAGGCCCTGGCACAGGTTGCCCAGAGAAGCTGTGGCTGCCCCTGGATCCCTGGAAGTGTCCAAGGCCAGGTTGGAGCAACCTGGGCTAGTGGAAGGTGTCCCTGCTTGTGACAAGGGTTGGAAACAGGTGATCTTTAAGGTCCCTTCCAACCCCAACCATTCCAGGATTCCAAGCTGGGATAGTGGAAGGTGTCCCTGACCATGGTAGAGGCTTGGAATTGGATGATCTTTAAGATTCCTTCCAACTCAACCCAATCCATGATTCCATGACCCTGGAGTCTTTATCTCTGCCAAGATCTAATCCTTTTCATTGATCCCAGGCATCTTCACCTGAAAATTGAGTCCTGTCCTTAATTATATCCAAATTAAACATTGAGTTTAAAATAAAACCACTGAGCTGGTCTTATAAAGAATATTTATTCCAGGTAGGAGTGTCTAAGATGGAGATGTGAAATAACTCCCAAAAATGGGGTTATGTTGATTATATATTGACTGGATTGAGGTGTCCTGGATGAGCAGTTTCTACATTATTTATTATTTTTAATTTGATTTTCAGCTCCTTATATGACTCTGACTTCTCTACTCAATGTTCTTTAGTGCCTCCCCCTGAATGGGAACCAAAAAGGTGTTTAAATATCTTGGAGTGTTTCCCCCTTGACTTCTTTTTTCCTAAAAGGACATGACATTATCCACTCACCATTCACTCTCACCATGGAAATTGCAGAGGGATGGGATCATTTTCGTGCCATTCCCAAATTCTTCCGTTTATGGTTTTCTCAGTGAGTTCGTCATCAAATTCTTCAGTCTCACGAAGGCAAGAGGTGAACAAGGGGTGGAAAAGAAGAGAGGGAGAAAAGTGACTCTCGAAAAGAAAGTACAAACCACAGTTCTTCAGAATTTCCAAAATGAAAGTTATCAATTACATTAATTATATTTATTGTTTGGGTTTGGGGATTTTTTTTTTAGGTGTTTTATTTTTATTTTTAAGTTCTTTAGTTCGAATTCATTTTTTCATCACTAATCATAAATTGCCATAAATGGGACCATGGAATGAAAATCCTCCTGAGCTTCTCTCTCCTTTAATTTCTTGCACTAAATCATGAGATTGTCACTGTCTGCTGGTGACATGAACCCAAGTCCTTCTGATTTTCAGGAGGAACAAGGAACTAAAGGCTGGTTTATGGTCACATATCAGATGCCAACTTAGACCCAGTGCCTTTTGTGGCTTCTAAATTCAGGAAAACACGGAAGAACTGAAAGCTGCACACCTGGATTATTCTTAATTTCAAGATATTCCCTTAATTCCACCTGTTTAATGCAGGGATTTTTCCTGGTTGAGTGGGAATCAGCTCTTCCAAATTCAGGTGGAGAGGTCTAGAGCCTGAATTAGCCAACCCAGCCTCTCCTTAAAATTGATGGAGAAAACCACTTCTAAATACTTCTAAAAAATACTTCTAAATCTTCTAAAATACTTCTAAATATACTTTAGAAATACTTTTAAGAGAAATTCTTCCTGAAAGGAACAAAAAAACTTGGAAGAGTGTCTTGACACGAGAACCGCCAGGGCAGAAAGGGAACGTGCCAAACCATTCCTGCCTGTTTCCTAAGGAAAAGCTGGGAATGTTGCCAGCCATTGGCTTTAAAAAAAGTGGACGAAGTGCTTTTTAACATGCTCTGACTTGTCTGATCCCAGTTCCTATCGCTGCAATAATTCCCCTCACAAGAAGCGGCGGAGAAAGTCCTAAAGTGACCTGGAGCGGAGACAGATCTTTGAAAAGAAACCAATATTGACCTGGCAGAAAATGTCACACGTTTTATGGTGTTTTCAGGCAACTTCCCAGCTGTTTGGGTTTGCTTTCATGCCACCTCTTCCACTGGGAAAGGTGGGAGCAGGCTGGATTAAAGACCCTCAACGTGGTTCTGCCCCTGTTGTGTTTGTGTTTCCAAGGGTGGAACAGCAAAACTAAAATGCTGAGTGAGCTTTGCTCTGCTTATCATTTAAATTGCACCTCTAATCCCAGTTAATCAATTTGTTGATAGGCTCGAAGGGGGAACTTTTGCCTTTAAGGCTGAGAAGCTCTTTGATGCCTTTTTTTTTTCTGTCTCTCACCAAAGCTCTGGGAGGGATAAAAGGTCTGAAACGTCCAAGACACACCACAAACTTCCTCTGGGAATGAAGTCACAGCAAGATGGGACTTTTTCTCTTGAGAAGTGTCATTAATTTTATAACATAAGCACTCATCAGCCTTTCTTTTGGGTAGGTATCAAACCACCCGAGGCTTTTACATTTTTGGAATTTCCCAATTCGATGCTGGAGGATGTTTTCAGGATGACAGGTCTGGCACCTCTTTGAAGTGAGGGACGGGCCTGAGAACTCTTGGTCTTCTTTTCTCGGGATGTGGCAGATTTAGGCAGATTCCTGCTGTAACATGAGGTTCCAATCCAGCAACTTTGAGCTTCTTTTTCTCACTCTCGAGGGCTGGAGACTCACAAATTAAAATAAATGGTTTTAAACTTAAAGAGGGGAGATTTAGATGGGATATTGGGAAGGAATTCTTGGCTGTGAGGGTGGGGAGGGACTGGAATGGATTTCCCAGAGAAACTGTGGCTGCTCCATCCCTGGAAGTGTCCAAGGCCAGGTTGGATGGGACTTGGAGCAACCTGGGAGAGTGGAAGGTGTCCCTGCCCATGACAAAGGCTGAAAATGATCTTTAAGGTCCCTTCCAACCCAAACCATTCTGGGATTCCACGATTCCATGAACCAAGATGACAAACCTACGCAAATATTTCCTATGGTGTAAATTGTCCCACAGAAGTTGTAATATCACATTTAAAAGACAGTCTTTTTCTACTTTTACAGTAGAATTTATACTTCCTAGTTATAGTTAGAATAGTTAGTTTACAGTTAGAATTTCCTACTTTTTTACTTTACATCTTGCAAGATACCATTGACAATTTCTCCAATTTCTCCATCACAAACAACGTTGCTCCACATGAGCGTCCAAACACCACCAGCCTTCAGGAAACTTTACCTTCACAACGTCTGCTCAGCTGTTGACCTGATTTCACAAGCAGGGAGGACAAACTCAGGAAGAAAAACACAAAATTTCAAGTCTTCTATGAGATTCGTGGAAATTTTGGGAGCAGTAGCCAAAACTACTCATGACCATCAGGTTGAACAGCACAACAAATCTGGAGCTTCTGCTGAACACAGGGAATTCAGGATTATGCTCTGAAAGGATTGGGTGAGTGTTCATCTCTCCAATAGATGTGTCCTAATTCTGGTGAAGGATAAAACATTGATTTTCCCCTGTTATGAACTTGTCCTGTTTTATCCTGACAGGTTTTTACTCTTCTCCCTCTTTATGGGATATGACCTTCCTTGCTTTTGGCAGGTGAGCCTGAAATAGTGAGAAGATCTGGCTTGTCTTAACTCAAAGCCTTATTGAGGTGTTGTTGCTTAGACTGGAAAAATCTACCCAGGGACATCAAACAAAGTGTTTTCCAGACCAGTGTTCATCTTGTGCTCCCTGAAAATAAACACTCAGTGAAGTCAAATGGTAACTTCTGGTATCTAAGGGAAATGTTTTCCCTGATTTATATGTCGGTGTTACTTTGCTGCAATGACATTCCAGGGGTTAGTGGCCAAAGCCCTGGAAAATCATCTTCTGAAAATGCAGATCAAGGAACAGGAAATGGGAAATTCCAAACCCTGAAATTCCAAACAGAAAACCGGTCATTGCTTACCACCGAATCCCAGAATGATTTGGGTTGGAAGAGACCCTAAAGATCATCCAGTGCCACCCCCTGCCATGGGCAGGGACATCTTCCATAACCCAGGTTGCTCCAACCTGGCCTTGGACACTTCCAGGGATCCAGGGGCAGCCACAGCTTCTCTGGGCAACCTGTGCCAGGCCCTCCCCACCCCCTCCCAGCCAGGAATTCCTTCCCAATATCCCATCTAACCCTGCCCTCTGGCAGGGAGAAGCCATTCCCTGTGTCCTGTCCCTCCATCCCTTGTCCCCAGTCCCTCTCCAGCTCTCCTGGAGCCCCTTTAGGCACTGGAAGAGGCTCTCAGCTCTCCCTGGAGCCTTTTCTTCTCTAGGTGAATCTCCTCATCTCTCCCAGCCTGGCTCCAGTCCTGGGAGCATCTCCAGGGCCTCCTCTGGAATTGTTCCAGCAGCTCCACATCCTCTGATTTTGGAGGCCCCAGAGCTGGGATCTCACCAGCACAGAGGGGGAGAATCCCCTCCCTCGACCTCCTGACACTTCCTTTGATCCCAAGTGACTCCATCTGAAATCTTTGGATGGGTTTTGCTCTGATGAAGGTTTTCCATGAGGCCTGCAGAGAATTACAAGTGCAGCTGGGCTTTAAACCCCCATTAGAACCTGGACCATTTCCTCCAGAAGTTTCTTTTCTTCATCTGTCTGCAGCATTTTACGGTTTTATGATGCTTTTCTTTCCCAAAGCATCATAAAACCATAAATCTTCCTGCTATATGATGCTTTCTTGAAAGGGAAATGCACTGACAAAGCCCTGTGAGGTAAAGCTGGACTCAAGTGCTCGATCAGTTTGATGTTTGTGGTCCTCTGAACTTTCTTCTCTTAAATGGCTTTTGAGTCACTCTTATCTCTCTCACCCTCATTAACCCTCCTTTAATAATCAAAACACAGGAGGAGTAGAAAGGCCACTGGAATAAAGCTGGTTTAAAGTGAAACTTTGCTTTCACCCAGCCAGAAGCTCTGCTTAGTCTTAGTCTCTGCAAACCTTGGTCTTGAGCCTAGAAAGGCTTCACCCACACAGGCTTTGACCTGTGTTGTTAAAACTGCAGAGCCAACCAAGATCTACAGAACTGGGATATTAATTGAGCTTAATTTAATTAATTAACTCTGGTGTTCCAGCCTGATGGGTGAAGGGAAAACTTCCCATGGATATTCACAGAGAAACAGATAACCCTGGAATTATCCTTAGTCTGGGCTTTACTCTTCTAACACAAAAGTCTGGATATAGAGTTCACAAGGCTGAAATAAAACTGAGACATAAGCCAGGGATGGAGATGGGATGTGCTGGGAATTAAGTGGAGCTGTTCCCACTCCTGGCTGAATTTATGGAAGGAGACTCTTCTCATGGGGGTTTTGGAGGAATAAAGTGACATTTAAGTCTGGTAGAGTGGGCTTGGACCTTCTCAAGTGGGAATTTTGTACAAGAGATTCAGGAATCTGCTGCCCTATAAAAACAATGCCAGCAGGGGAATATTTTTTGGATGGTGCAAGAAATCTGGGAGCCAAAGCAGCTGGGTATTGGTCATGGAATTGCCTTGGAAGAGTCTATCTCAGTGTGTTGGTAACAAGTTATATCTGGCTGGAGGAACACAGACAAATTGTCTCTAAAAGATGCCTGGTCCTGACACAAGGTTTGAAACAGCAAAATCCATGTTAAAAGAGCTTAAAAATTGGGCTTGAGAAGGGGAAGAAACAGTGGGACCAAACCTAAATTCTATTGTGAACAAGTCACTTTATTGTATCTGTCCCTAACCCTTCTCTTCCTTAAGGAAAATTAAACTCAAATGATGATATTTTTACGTAGCAAGCAAACAAACAAACAAAGCTCCATTTCTGTGAAAAGTGT